GTTGTATCAAGAGACCTCAAGAAAGTTCATTGACGAATTCCAGCCTGTCCATCTAGGACAGGGGTCTTCAAACTTGACAGCTTTAAGACCTGTGGACTTCAACTCCTAGAATTCCTCCTCCAGTTATGTTAGCTCAGGAATTCTGGGAGTTGAAGGCCACAAGTCTTAAAATGGCTGATGTTGAAGGCCACCCCCATGTTAGACCAGGGGTCTTCAAACTTGACAGCTTTAAGACCTGTGGACTTCAACTCCTAGAATTCCTCCTCCAGTCATGTTAGCTCAGGAATTCTGGGAGTTGAAGGCCACAAGTCTTAAAATGGCTGATGTTGAAGGCCAGCCCCATGTTGAAGTCCACAGGTCTTAAAACTTGGCAGATCTGAAGACCCTTGATCTAGGCAAAGAGTCTGCAACTCTCGGGCTGAGAAGGTTGACCCTCTTAGAGGAAGAAGATGGAGCCTCAGAGCCCCAATGTAGTGCCCAACCAAGGTCAAAGTCAAAACATGGTCCAAGCAAGTATGGAAGAAATTGCGCCAGACATTATCTTCATTGGATGGTGAACTTTTATTTGGATATTGTGATTGAAACGGGGAGAGGAGTAACAAGCATAGGTTTGCTTTTGACAAAATCGTACTTTTGTAAAAAAAGAAAAGAAAAAAAGGCACAGAGAGAGAGGTAAAGAGAGAAAACATATTAGAGAAAGTGAATTCTTGGAGACTGTTAGTTGAAGCCAAGTGTCTATGGAGATTCTCAGCCATCCAGGCCATGGTTGCCCCAGAGGTTCTCCTTGCTAGATCTTCAGAGTAGCATGACTGCCACAGCTGTTGCCATTGCTGCCCAGATCACTTTGTTGACCTGCAGATTGAAGAGGAAGAGAAAGATCTTTGGTTCAAGGAAAGAACCTATTACATAAATTCCGAAAAACAGCCTAAATTTTCTATGGTTTAACCAGGTTTCCCCAACCTAGAACATACCATCCTTCACGGTCATCATCATTTTAACCATGGCCATCTATCCACTGAAGGATGAAGGCCTCTTCCGTGTATGCCTTGGCCAACGGATCTCAGTGGAAGGGGGATACAATAAAGGACATTGAACAAAACATATCATAGAAACTTTTATAGAACCTTAGAGTTGGAGGATGTCTTATAGCTAACATTTTTTGGGCTCCTGTGTCAAAAATTGCACTCGCGCTCATGTGCCAGCACCCAGAAGGCAATGCATGCAGGGGTCCCCCCCCCAAGCCCCCTGCACATGCGCACATGATTTCCTCCCCCTGCCGCCCCTTACCTGCACTGCTCCTCCCAGCCGATTTTTGGCCCGTTTGAGGCCTTTTCCA